ATTTAGTGGTATCAGAGCTTAGGTTAAATTAGATATTTGGAGATTTAGTGGTATCAGAGCTTAGGTTGAAATTAAGAGCTTAGGTTGAAATTAAGAGTTTAAGATTAAATTAAGCACCTTCAGATTGAGTGGCATCAGAGCAAATTGAGTGATATCCGAGCCTAGGTTTAATTAAATACCTAGGATTTGTTTTGGACTTGGCTAGCCAGTGGATTTTAGAACCGTGTTGAGATGAGTGATGGGATTATATAGGGGATGATTTTGATTCATGTTGCCTGAATTTTCTAAGCCATTTTGATGAGATGGTAATGTGATTGTTCTTGTTTCCTACCTTCATACTCTGTGTGAAGTTGTGAAAGTGATCTTGCCCATTATGTTCTTAAGACCTTGTTTTGAAACTTGGTCATTTTCTGATAGTCCGCACTTGTTTAGGCTTGTTACGTTAATAGAATTTTTGTGTGCTCTTTTGCCACAATTGTGAAATCTGGGGAGTTGCAGAGACTTTTGTTATTGATCCTGTTGGTCTCTACCACATAGCTGGTTGAGAAATTTGTTCTGTTTGTCACATGACCAGTGGAGGATGGGTAAACCCTTTACTTTGTAAGAGATTCCAGGCTATTTTAGCAAATGTTGTGTGTTTTCTAGCTGCATTTTAGGAGCTGGATTACTTGGTAATTCCGTTGCTCCTTATTTTCTGAAAGTGTTATAGTGAAAATTTCACTTTTTCCATTTGGAGCTTCATGGTCTTTTCATGTGGCTCATTTTTCTATATTGGTTAATCAAAAACAGTGATCGATTCAATTGAAATTGTCATTTTTTTTGTGATGATTGGCAAGCTGTCATAAAGCTAAACTCTCTATTGTTGCTAATCTCTACATTCTTGACACCTAGAAACTGCTTGCAACTCTTGAAATCCGTCTTGAATCTTTCTTGAGATTGCTTTGTACTTGTTCTTGAAACTGAAATCCAAATGAAATGGATAATGATTATTGAAATCCTCATTATCTTGATTTTTGTCTGGAATTAATTCATGCACTGTTCTTGGAATTTAGTTTGAATTGTCCTTGGAAACCATTCTTGTCTTGACCCTGCTCTTGTTCAAATTTTGTATACTGCTCTTGTGCAAATCTTGCATATTCTGCTAGTTCTTGTTTCAGTATACTTCTTGATCTTCTTGATTTTTGATTTTTGTTCATATGGACACCTCTTTAGGAAGGGTGACGATTATTAGGAAATACCTATATGAGGCATTCTCGTTCCTGTCTCTTGCAAGTGTTAATCTCTGTATCCTTGATGCCTTAGCTTTGACTTGGCTCTAGGATGTCTAGGATGACTTGACTGTAAATCTGCTTAGCCTCCATGGGCTACGAGGTGAAGGGGTAGTCTTTGAAATACCTAATGCCCTTTGTTGCAA